AGATGTGTGTGTGTGTGTGTGTGTGTGTGTGTGTGTGTGTGTGTGTACACGTGTATGCAGCGTACCTCTACCTCCGCCCATATGCCCATGGGGCGGACCGTGTTGTTGGTATTGTCCTGGAGGTGGTCCATATCGTGCGCCGGGCGGTGGAGGTGGAGCACCCATACCCTCGCGTTCATTGGATATAACACGGACAACTACTTCATCGCCATTACCTGTTGTTAACGTAATGAGAGACGTTCGAATGTGACTGAGTGCTTACAAAGGATGGCAACCGTTGACCATGGAAATATAATCGTTTGGATAGAAGTGGAAACATGGTGAAAATTTAGTACCTAGTATTTTAGGGTTTATGTATTGTATTGTATGTGTGAACCACAATGGAGTGCATCACGTGCGCAACCACCTGAACGCCCTCGCCGGTTGTTAGCAGAACTATGGGCTGTAATTGAATATAGCGAAGCATGCCAAAAGAGATTTGTGGCACTCATTTACAGATTGGTTTTAAATCTGTACTGTTTTAGGTGTAGTTGGGTTGGATGCTGCACGCATAGTAAACCCCAAGAAGAGATTTTTGATTTAAGCTCAACATACGTACAAAACATAACGCAGGTATAGGCTTGTCCTCAATACAAACCATTTCACAAATACAAGCAGAACATCACATACATACATACGTCGTCGCAATACAAAACATAACACCGGCATATGTTCAAAGACAACCCGAACACCACATGCATACATGCGTCGTCGCAATACACAACTTTACATCAGCATATGTTCAAAGACAGGCACAACTCCACATGCATCATACGTCGTCGCAATACACAACTGTACATAAGCATTTGTTCAAAGACCAACCATGACATCACATGCATACATACGTCGTCCTAATACACAACTTTACATAAGCATATGCTCAACGACAACCAGAACACCACATACATCATACGTCGTCGCAATGAACAACTTTGCATAAGCATATGTTCAAAGACAGGCAGAACACGTCATGCATCATACGTCGTCGCAATACACAACTTTACATAAGCATATGTTCAAAGACAACCACAACACCACATGCATACATACGTCCTCGCCCGTTGCCGCCGCGCGCGTCGTCTCGCATAGGCTTCCACATGCCCATCCGATTCGCTCGTTGGAAGTCACAGTATTGCCTTTTGACAGAGGAAGAAAACATACCGGACGGAGTTAGGGTTTTAGGGTTTTAAGGTTTAAGATTTAGGGGTTTAGAACCGACTTTTACCAGACACAACCGCATCGCTCACCTCCACGTGTCTTCGTTGAATCCGTAGTTGAAGTAGTCTGTGAGATCGGCACCAGGATTGCGCCAGGGCTTGTCATCGGCCCCGTCTAAATCAAAGTCAAAGGTCTTTACTCCGTCTACTTCGCCCTCGGCTCGCAGAGACAGACTGTCGATAGTATAGGCGTGGTGTGATAAGAGAAACATGTGCCCCAGTGTGAATGAGATATTATATGATGGGAGATATATATGTCGCAATGCTATTAAGATGTTGTAGCTATGAGACAATCCTATAGGTGAGATAAGGAATATATATATATATATGTATATATATATATATATATATAA